AACGGGGTCGTTAACGCCATGCTCAACCCTCTTCCTTTATCCGGGTTTGAGATCGGCAGTACCCCCAAGAGGGAATCTAGGCAGAGTTAAGGTATATGAAATTAGAATTTTCATATTTAGTTCAATACCTTTTTGAAAAAAAAACAAAAACATGATTAAACCTTCAGATTTACAGTTTATCAAAAATTTTGCAATTAAACATGTATACATCAATTTAGGTGTTGTAGAGATTGTCAAGCTTTTTTTGATTAAGATCATGAACCGATTGATGTTAGACCACCATTGAAAACCTGGAAGCACTGATCGCGCAACTTCGTGGATTGGTTGAGGTTAGACGTTAACACCGTTGAATACCAGTCGGCTCATTGGTCCAGTAGGTTAAGCGTTCGCACATGAGACCGAATGCCCTGGGTTCGAATCTCGTGAGCGAGCGAGAGAGCTAGCGGTATTGTGGATGCGCACTGTTGAGGAGTCCCACAATAGGACGAAACAGCCATCCAGCACTTCCAGGTTTCCATCGGAGATCTCACATCAATCATAAACATTGTATACATTTGTGTTATTTACTATGTAGAGACTTAATGTAAAGATGTTATATATCATTCCTTTCGCTTGATTTTTTTTGAAACAGTACTTCAATAAGAAAAAAAAGAATTTGCATTTCTACATTCATGTCCTGTATTCAGTTGAATGCAAATTTTATTGATCACAATTTTTTTTTAGTCATAAATGTTATACAACTTAATGTAGACTGATTGACTGACTAACTGACTGACTGACTGACTGAAATGTTGTGATATTTTCTTAGCGAAAATTCATATCTGTTTTACTCTACAATCTGTTAGAGGTATAGTATAGTATAGTATCTAAAATACTAGTCTCGATAATTTTCGGACGCCTAACTAAGACTCGTGAACTGCAAGCACGTGAAAATCAGGCTGGCTTTAGACCTTGTCGTGGATGCATCGACCAAATATTCACCATTCGTCAGGTTCTAGAACACAGGCATACTTATCCGCGTCCGACAATGGTGGTCTTCCTTGACTTAAAAGCAGCATTTGACTCTGTAGACCGAGAGGTTCTGTGGCAGTGTCTGCCATTGAAAGGCGTACCTCAGAAGTACATAAACCTTATGAAGGCTCTTTACTCGAACACTACTAGTCGGGTCAGAGCCTATGGCGAACTGTCATCTGCTTTTGCAACCTCAAGTGGCGTCCGTCAAGACTGTCCACTTTCTCCTTTTTTGTTTAACTTCATCATAGATCTACTGATGAATATAACGCTCTCATCGACTGAATTCTCGGGTATTGATCTCCTACCAGGAGGTCCACTTATCGACTTAGAATACGCAGATGATATTGTCCTGTTTGGTGAACACGCTGTTAAAATGCAGTCTTTTGGTAGCACTGAGCAACAATACCAGGATGCTTGGGATGCGCTTCTCTCCCTCTAAATGCACGTTGTTCCTTCAGGACTGGTCTGCATCAACACCTGAACTAAGGATGGGGGGTGAAGTAGTCGAACGCATTGACAACCTCACTTATCTTGGAAGTCTGATCAGCCCTAATGGGTTGTTGTCTGACGAAATCTCAGCACGGATTCGAAAAGCTCGCTTGGCCTTTGCCAACTTACGTCATCTATGGCGAAGGCGAGATATCCGTCTATCAATTAAGGGACGAGTATACTGCGCGGCAGTTCGTCCCGTTTTACTATACGGCTGTGAAACATGGCCTTTAAAAGTAGAAGATACTCGCAAGTTACTAGTATTTGACCACAGGTGCCTTAGAAATATTGCTTGCATCTGCTGGGATCACCAGGTAAGTTATAGTGAGATTAAACGTAGGGTATTAAGGAATGATGGTAAATCAGTTGATGAGGTGATGAATCTTCATCGACTGAGATGGTTAGGCCACGTGCTGCGTATGCCTGAACACCGCTTACCACGACGCGCATTGCTAACCGGTGTTAGGGATAATTGGAAGAAAGTTAGGAACAGCTAAACCAAAATGTGGCATTAGTCCGTAAAGTTTTAAATCATTTACACGAATACATTTATTTAATCTCTTCTTTAGAATTCTAAAATTGAATAATCTGACGTACATTCATTATGATTACATAAGAGAATATTTTGTTTTTATCTTCTTATACAGATGATTTATTTGTCTGTATATCAATCTTCTTTAATCTTTTTATTCATTGAAATAGTAATGATTTCATATGTTGTTTAAGTAATCCTTCAATGCATTTATATATACATATATATATCAATGCTATGAATTGTTAATTATTGAATAGTATGGTTCAAGGATTACAAAATTTTCAGGAGAGTTTTCAATTGAAACTCATTCAAGTGATTGAATAACTTTTAAAGAAAAAAAAAATTAATGAGTGAAATTGATCCTCTGAAAAAGAAATTTCTTTGATTTAGGATTAGAATATTAGAAAAGATACGTTTTTCACACTGACATCATACAAAAATAATCATTTTTATTAAAACGAACATTCAAAGTGAATTTCAATGGTTAAGATCATGAGTTAGTTGAAGCTAGACCATCATCATGGAAAAAACCATGAGAGCACTGCATAGCTGTTTCGTCCTATTGTGGGACTTCTCAACAGTGCACATACACGACCTCGCCACTTGCGTGATTCGAACCCACGACCTACTGGTTTTGCGCGTGTGAGAGCACTTAACCAACTAGACCACTGAGTCTGTTGGTATCTAACCATTTTAATGTCTAACTTCAACTAATCCCACAAAATTGAGTGACACATCCATCATTGTCTTTAGTGAGTTACTATCTCACAACAGACCCGGTTGAACTCCACTGATCACTACTTCTCATTAGAACTCCAGGATTTACCTCTTGAAGTCAGTCACTAATGAGCATATGTTTATTAATATGAGAAGGTGTTTTGTGTAATTTCAATGGTTAAGATCATGAGTCAGTTGAAGCTAGACCATCACTATGGAAAGAACCTGGAAGCACTGCATAGCTGTTTCGTCCTATTTTGCGACTGGTCAATGGCAGTACACATGCACGACCTCGCCCTTCCCTAGCGAGATTCGAACATAGGACCTATTGGTTTCGCGCGCGTGAGAGCACTTAACCAACTAGACCACTGAGCTGGTCAGCAACCAACGGTGTTAATGTCTAAGTGGACTTATTGTATATTTATCTTCCATAACCAATAATGAAATTATATTCGATCCATCTCTGTTTTTCATCAAGGAATAATGAAATTCAAAGACGAACTATCGATATTGTTCAATAAGAAAAGACACAGATTACAAAGTTGTTAAACGAATCTCACAGTTAAAGATTAATTGGGTATGATCGATTTTGCTTCTCAAAAGTTGAAGTAATCTACACTTGAAAACTGATCGTAACTGGTTGCTATAGTTACAAAAAAAATGTAATATCCGTTCTCAATGGTGAAACCAGAATTTTAATATATATTTCCTATGAATGAAAACTTAAATTAAAGTTCAAAAGAACTGTTCGGTATGAATAAATGTAAAAAAGAATACAATTCTCATAACTAATATGATCTGAACCTAATCAACTGTAATCTCTTTTTTATATGTTTATAGTTTTCCCCTCTAAAAAACTAAAGTTTCATTTATGTGATGAAAATAAGTCTGTAATTAGAGCAAATTTATTCTATTCTGTTTAGTCTAATTCTGATGTCATGTATACTAAATGTAATATTGTCACTTTTATATTTCTGTTGTTCTTGGTATTCCTATTCATCATTTAGTTGGTTTACGTTTTATATGAACGATACAATGAGTTATTATATGATCAGATTGATTCAAAAGTTTTGTGAAGATATGAATGTTATAACGTTTCGATAAATTTCACTGGTTGAAATCATGAGTCAATTGAAACTAGACCACCACCACCATGGAAAACCTGGAAGCACTGGATGGACGTTTCGTCCTATTTTGGGACTCCTCAGCAGTGCACATCCACGATCACGCTCACGGGATTAGAACCGAGGGTCTTCAGTCTCGCGGGATCGCGAACGCTTAACTTACTCGACCATTGAGCCAGCTGGCATCCAACAGTGTTAATGTCTAACTTGAACCGATCCACGAAGTTGCACGACCATCTTCCATTGAACTAAGGTAGACAGTTTTTTCTACCCGACACAGTTTAGCTTCACTAGTCACGACTTCTCACCAGAACTCTGAAAATTTTCTCACAAAACTAGTCACTAGTGAATACATTGTAATTATCAGTTTAGGGGGGTTGTGAAGATTGTCAAGTTTTTTTTATATAGATCATGAACCGATTAATGTTAGACCGTTATTAAAAACATGAAAGCACTGGACGACCGTTTCGTCCTATTGTTGGACTCCTCAACAGTGCGCATCCACGATCCCGCCCCTCTCGGGATTCAAACTGATATGATGGAACTATACTCTAAATGTGATTTGTGATAACTGAGTATTTTTTATGTATGTGATTTCATTTCAATTATTAATCAAAATGGTTGTTTAATCAATATATAAAAGAGTGTATTTTCGACTAAGTTCATCGTTGTCATCATAGTGTTTTTTAGGGGCTAATAAATCTTCAGTTTTATACCAGTCTTGTGTTCTTACTTTCTCATCGTGGAAATTGTAAAGGTCCGTTCGTTCCGAGCATAAATAATCAGCGATTCCAATATAACAATCAGCGACAATCAAATACAAAATTCACAAGTTATAACACATACTTAGAACTTTTAGTCTTGTAAGCGAACTCTTAACCTATCCAATACTTTCAAATTATCAACGATGGTCTCTGAATACTCTGAAACTGAATCCCACCATAAGGCAAGATTGTGAACGCTTATTGTTAAGCATTCACAATAATCTAACGTTAATCGGTTCATAATCTTAATCAATAACATAAATTTATTGAATTAAATATAATTTATGTAAATAAAACTATTTTATTATCCTATTTACATCTATATCTATCTATATATATATCTATATCTATATTTAGTTCCATGCAATTGATAACGATTCAGGTATAAATGGTACAGTTCGATATGAAATTACTCAAATCACCCAAGAAATAATTCAGAACCATACTATCAATGAACATGCAAAACTAATCAATAATTCTTATGTAATCAATCAATCATTTAATAAAAATTATAAAATATTAAAAAATTCATTATTTTCATTAAATTCATTGAATGGTTTATTACGTTTAAATACACAATTTAATAAATATGATTTAAATCAATTCATAAATATACATATTAAAGCATATGATTTAGGTAGACCTATATCAAAATATACTTATATAATAATACATATTAAATTAATGAATATAACACCATCGAAAATAAATAATGATTTTAATGATCATATCGATGAAAATTATGATCTGGATCAAATGGATCATTTCAAAGATGATCCTGTGATTGATACAAAATGGAATAATCATCATCATCATAATTATTATTATTATCGTTATTCATTAAATAATTATATTATATTAACTACAATAGTAATATCTATATTATTATCAATTATATTAATATGTTCTATAGTTTGTATTATTAAATATAAAAAATTAAAAAATAATTCAATAATTCAACATGTAAAACATACACATCAACTGAATGAAATCAAACAGGATTATACAAGTCATGAAGATGGATTGCAAAATATAAGTAAGTTATATAAATAGTAATAAACTTTATTAATATTAATAAATAAATAAATAAAAAATTATTTATTTGTTTTAATACATAGATATTAGTACAAGAAGATATCAAATACATATACTCTACACAAATCACATTGGATAGGTATGTAGGCTGGGATACTGTTTGAGTGTTCATAGCGAACCAGGTGATTTTCTTAGGGGGGCACACCCCCACCTAAAGATCTGATCCACAAGACAGTACAATATCATGAGGAGATGCAATCCTATGGTAGCCGATGATCAACGATTGTTTCATACACTATTTGTTCACACAGGATACTGGATCCCATATACACCATTGATTTGAGATCTGGTTAAAGTGCCAGACATTCAATTTTCGTGCTCTCATTTTTGTAAACAACAGTAATGCTAAGAGAAGGTAGTGAATAGGACTTCCCTGATAGAGGCTTTATACGCATAGCCATGTGAGAGCATGTTATTGCATAATTACAACTAATATTTATGATAAATTATACCTTTATATATATCCTGTTAAAATATTAGTATTAAATCATGGTATGTCCTATAGTTCATGCTCTTTTATATCAACAATCATATTACGGTTAAACATATACATGAATGTAATCAATAAAATTATCTAGAAATTTTGAGTGAAATATTTATGTTGGGGTATTCAGAAAATACCCTAGAAATTATTGAATGCTATTCCTGAATGAGAAATTGTGTCATTTTCCCCATTGGTCAATATTCTTCCAACATATCATCTCCCTATTGGTCAATATTTATTTGTGTCATTTCCTGAAGGTTATATCTTGTACAAATGTTACTTTCTATTTTATGGCACGATGTAGTCTGTTCGATTGCTATATAAACAGGGTATGTTTGAAATATAACGATTCATATCACAGAGGCTGAGACTTGCGTTTTAGACTCAACTGGCTGGGCTAGATAGGGAAGCAGGGCTTCTCGCTTGTATTTTATGCGTCACTGTTCCGATCGATAATACGCTACTCTCTAACCGGCAAGACTACCCGTTTATAACAGTTTTAAAAAAATTGTAATTCAATTCAGCAACGAAACATCTATAAACAATTTACTTATTAGCTTATATGAAATGAGTCAACATTTTGAACATTATTTTATCACTAAGATAAGTTTTGTTTTTCATCAACTGTCCGATATTTATCATTTATCAAAGTTATATTCAGTAAATTACATACACATAGAGTTCGATTTATCATTATGAAAAGAGCAAGAACAACACATTCTAACAGAATAGCATGAATTCATCGTTTATTTCGTCTAGGTCTCATCAGCTGCTTACAACCTGTGATATTTACAAATCATAATTAGATAATGGGTTTAAATTGCTTACATGAGAAGGTTTAGTTAGAGGTTATATTGAAGACATATTCGTATAGTATAGCAAGGGTGTAAATGAAATTAATAGACTGAATGTTGTAAATATATATACCTTATGTGATGAAAAAACATTGTGACAACAGTTCAAAGGGCTAGAAACAAGTAAACATTGATAGGAATACAATGAGTAGAGTTCAGTTGATAAAAATAAGATTAAAAATTTTTTTTTAAGATAGTTAGAATAAAACTCAATGATGTGATAAATGCAAGAAAGAGTTTAAAGAAAAAAAATATATTAAGATACAGTGAATGAATATTAGTCACCAAGGCAAGGAAAGATTAACAACCGTCTCCTTTTGAACACATAGGTCAGGTTTTTGACGCCTAATGGCAACTGCTTCAGCAAACTTCAGAAGACTGGAACTTGGCTACTTACTAATCACCTTGTAAGGTATCTGATGTTCTGTATGAAGGAGATGTTTGGTGATTGCACTAATTAGAGTCTTTCTTTCTCTTGTTCTGAGGCTTTTTGGAACATGTTAAAAAAATCTGAGATATGCCCTGCTTTCTGTACGGCTAATGTAGCTGCTTTGGCAGGTACACGTAAATTTATAAATACAATTGGCAAAAACATGAAAAGTATGCTTATCAACTATTGATTGAGTTATTGAACATGTTGTTTTATACAGAATTAGAAGTTTGGCCACCGGATAAGTTCTGACTAGCGTAGTATTCAATCTCCTGTTAATTGTGTTTCCAACATCATCACCTTTGAAGTTAAGATTAATAGTTATTGCCTGTTTATTGACTGTAATAGCTTGAGTATTGTTTTATTTACGCTTTTTATATTTGTCAATAAACTTTTTTGGGTAAAAGTTCTCTCGTAAGTATTACATGACAAAAATGCTCACTCCAAATTTTGAGGGTAGCTTATCATTCTTAGAAAATGGTGTTAACAAGATTAAGAAATCTTATACATTCTATGGTATTTTTTCCTAGAGTAACTTAGTATATTTTTGGAGTTTTGTTCTCTGAGCTGGATGGTTTAGTCGTGGAGATTTCATCGTTCTTTTGAACAACATCATCAGCACAAACTTCAGATAGAAGTGAAATGTTCGAACTTTTCCATATGCGTTTCACGGCTTGTTCTGTACGCCTCGATGTTGATTGCGTTTTATTGACCTTAAATTTGCCATTGTTTACTTCTTTGTTTTGGCTGTGTCTCCTATTGGTTTGATTCTTGTTCCTATATTTGTGCATAGTTCTCCTGATTGGTTGATAAATCGGATCAATTTCAATATGTTTGTTGATTGCTGATTGACCTGAGTGCCAGGCTTCTAAAAATTCTCTGGTGTTTTTGGAATTTCCTCTGTTTAAGATTTTCACATTTTTCCAATCGAATGAATGTCCGCAATTGTTCATGTGTATTGATGATGTCGTCGAAAAGAACGATGACATCTCCACGACCAAACCATCCAGCTTAGAGAACAAAACTCCATCAAAATCATCCACCTGAGCTACAAATCTTCTCCACTAACTTAGTATTTGCCAAACAAATTATCATTGAGATATTTACGTATATACTGAATACTTAATAATTGACTCGATGCCGTTCATCTGGTATTGATCAGTCAAACTTTGTGAACATGCTGCGTTGTATAAATATAAGCGGTGCATCATTGTAGTTTACCAAAGTAAAATTGTAATAGTTTAAAATGATTGAAAGACTCTTTCCTATTTCTTAGCTAGAGGTTTCTGATATAGTAGTTTTCAGTATGAACTAGATGATCAATAAAATCTTTACATGACATACATGCTAATATGATATAAACAATATTTCTGTTCATTTATTTGAGGATATAAGTTATATTTAGTGTTTCAGTCGGTCAGTCAGCTGTAACGTAGGACCAGGCACATATATGCATCGGTCCAAGTTGCTATACCGCATTTGCATAAGAAGATGAACATCGGATTCATAGAAGTAGTTAATTCAGTGATGGTAATATATAGAAGAAAGATTGAATATAAGGAGATGGTACAAGAATAAAGAATTAGTTGGTAGAAAGAAAGACATGAAGCGATTTTAATCTCTTAGTTTGAAGGAAGATAGAGTGTGTATACACCGACACCATTGTGATAGACTCTGAGCTATGTCACCCAAAGTCTCCAACCATTGGTTACGATAGTCACGAGGACCCCAACCTGGTAGTCTCCATCTACCAATATGGCTCAGACCAGAAGTTAGTGACTTCAAGCACGGATGTCACGTTTTGGTTTGGCCGCCCCTAACTTTCTTCCAATCATCCCTAATACCCGTTAACACTGCGCGTCGTGGTAATCAGTGTTCAGGCATACGCAACACGTGGCCTAACCATCTCAGTTGATGAAGATTCATAACCTCATCCACTGATTTATCATCATTCCCTAATACCCTGTGTTTACAATTCATACTTGTGTAGATATACAGAAAGAGATCAGAAACCGTTTTGTCACATTCAAGATAAAATCTAGAACTTATTTACGTGACCATTATCATTAAGAAATTTCGCATATTATGTTTTGCTATACCGAAAAAAAAAAAAAAGAAAAGAAAAATCAAAGAGGTAATCCTATATTTCTCTATTCATTCTATTCCATTTTTTTTTTATTATTTATTTATTTTAGAAATAAGTCCGATTCGAACAAAATTCATGCATGATGATCCTATTCATCATATAGATTCTTTATTACCTAATTTAATAAAGGATATTCCAAAGAATTCCATTACATCAATCATAAACGATACAATATTACCATATAATAATACATCACTTTCTCAATATGTAAATAATAATAATAATTATGAAATAACAAATTCTACATATTCTTATAGTTCAACAACAATGACGACGACAACAACAACAACAACAACAACAACAGCAGTAGCAGCAGCAGCATCAGAACAAACTACTATTCTTCCACAACCATTCATTGTACATTTAGAGCCTATTCCATCTACAAATGATTTAACTAATCCTTATTGTATACAACCAATTAGTATATTCTATTCTACAAATACTAAAGAACAAATAAATTTAAATCAAATGAATCCTATGGATCATTCTATATATGATCCATTAATATCTACAATTGATTATTCATATCATAATGATCCATTATTGCATGTAATAAATAATAATAATAATAATAATAATAATAATGATTTACATGATGTCTATAATCAAACTATTAGAAAATTATCTTATTTTAATAATAATAATAATAATAATGAGAATCATAATGAATATAATTTAAATAAATATCATAATGATTATGAATGGAATAATTTAAATAAAACAAAATTATCAGAATTTCAACAATTATGTATTTATTCACAACCAGTAAGTTCATGTTTATTGTTTATATTCAATTAAACTCTTATTGATCTACATAGATTTAGAATACTTACTTACTTACTTATTTACTTACTTACTTACTTACTTACGCTTATTACTCACAATTGAGCATAGTCCACCGACCAGCATTCTCTAACCCATTCTGTCCTCAGCCTAGCAGTCTAGTTCTATTCAGTTCTTGTTCATTTTTCTTGTGTCTATCTTTATTTCTCAGCGTAATGTGTTCTTTGGTTTTCCTCTTCATCAACTTTGGTCTTGAGGATTCCATGTGAGGGCTTGTCTTGTGATGCAGTTCAGTGCTTTCCTCAATATGTGTCCTATCCACTTCCATCGCTTCTTCCTGAATTTGTTCCTCCACTGGGATCTGATTTGTTCTCTCCCACAGTAGGTTGTTGCTGATTGTGTCTGGCCAATGGATCCGAAGTATTTTGCGTAGACCAATTAATATATTTATATTATATTATTATTATTATTATCATTAATATTAATGGCTTTATTCAATATTATATTTTTGGTACAATATAGAATTCTCAGCACAAAGTATTTCAAAAAGTTTCTCTTTCTTATTTCTTGATTAGTTCTTTGCGATCAATATTGAGTGGTCGCCAGTTAGATGTTAGCAGTTCAAGAATCGACATCTGATAAATGTATATCCGTTTCGATGCATATTGCCAGTAACTATGATGTCTCTGATTGAGCTCTTTTGTATCATGTACAGCAAAATGTCGTAAATTTTTCACAAACGTACCTGAATAGGTTATGAGACACTAATAGACATAATGATGTGTTATAACAAACAAGAAAACAGATGACTTGTTGAAATATCCAGATGGCAGGAACCGGTAGCTCAGATATTCAAGCAGGCCGCCTTGTAGTTATACAGAGTACACGATTACATAGAACAAGTAGATGAGCTAGGCATATGAAACTGTAGAGATATACTTCTAGCAAAGATCGACTATATATACATATTTTTTCTTCAATATGTTAATGAACATTTCGGGGGCTTCTTATTTGTACAGAATTATTTCATATATTAACACTGTTTTATGTGAAAATAAATAAATGTAGGTTTAAATAAAGCAAGAACAAATATTGATGGAGAATAGTATGAATTCATAACATTTCGACGTTGCTCGTCAGCTACAAGGGACTAGGGCTCTCAACCATGCAATAGCTCGTCATTTACTTGACACCGGGCATATCATCAACAGACAAAGTAGTACGACTGCTCTTCAGTTCGCTGAAGAGATCGCAATGAAAAAAAACTTAAACCGGATTTATGTATTCAAAAAGAGACATTAATAAACTTATTATTATGCTGGTAATCCATCTTTTTATTTTTTTTTATTTTTTTGGTTATTTAGGTTATTTTATTCATTTATTTATTTTTATAATATTTATTTTGTGTTATATTCCCGCCCCCCTATTACCGAATTCTTAAACCAACTTTTCATTCACACATTTCAGCCCACTGATACCCTTCAACTATTACGTAACCTATCTTATCAATGTTTTTATTTCCAGGACTCCTTCATTACTTCTAAAATTATCACACAATTTATGAACTGCACTCAACTATTACACCGCCCATCCTTAATTCCTCCCTTAATTCTAACACTAATTAACCTCTGACCTGTTCTTACATATATATATATAGTTATTATTGTAAACCTTTGTCATTTCAATCCTTTACATTCATTTGTATCAATTGTTCCAGATTCTTTTATATTTCAATGTAAAATTCTAATACATATCAGTGGTTGTAAGCAGCTGATGAGCAACCACGAAATATAATGAAGTCATATTATTCTACATCAATGTTGGTTCTGGCTTTATTTAAATTCATAAAGGAAACTAATTGCATGAAATGTAGGTTTGTTTGAAATTCGAACACACTTAATCATTGAAATTACTACAATCTCCACAAAACCCCTTCTGACACTTAAGAGTATTAGTAATCTAACAGTTCATAAAGTACTTCAAATAAATCATTTGTTAATTTAGGTGTTGTAGAGATTGTCAAGTTTTTTGATTAAGATCATGAACTAATTGATGTTAGACCACCATTGAAAACATAGAAGCACTGGACGGCTGATTTGTGGATCGGTTGTGGTTAGACATTAACACCATTGGATGCAAGCCTGCTCAGTGGTTTAGTGGTTAAGTGCTCACGTACGAGACTGATAGATCTTGTGTTCGAATCTCGCTGAGGGGTGAGCGGGATCGTGGATGCACACTGTCGAGGAGTCCCACAATAGGACGAAACGGCCATCCAGTGCTTCCAGGTTTCCAAAGGTGATCTAACATCAATCGGTTCATGATCTCAATCAAAATAAATCATATGCACTTATTTGTATAAAACTCACTAATATTATACAGTTTGGATCGTTTGAAAAAATAGTTATATTACTTAATACATTAACTCTGCCTTTAGCACCTATAGACTTACTGCCGGTCTGAAGCCAGGGTAAAGAAGAAGGGTTGAACATGGTGTCGACAACCCCGTTCCGTGGAAAACGAAAACTTTGCTAAAAAACGCTAACTAGATCAAACAAATTAAACCATTTAAACTCTGTCCTTCGAGTTCGAGGAAGAATTACGACGCCTCATGATGAAAGCCGATATTCTTCCGAAGTCACAAGGCTGATGCCCCTTCTAAAAACCAAAACCAAAACTTATATAGGTACATGAAATGTTCGGATAATGTGAGAAACCGGGATGATCAATCAAATAATTAAGGAAATCAGGAGATACAACTTGACTGTGCTCGGAATCAGTGAAACCCATTGGAATGAAGGTGAATAGCAAAGGATAGATTCGGGAAAGTTGTTTCTGTACTCTGCTCATGACGAGAATAATGCTCCGCATACTCAGCGAGTTGCTCTGATGCTATCCAAATAAGAAGAACAATAATAGGGTAGAAATTTCATGCATACAAAATCATTAAAGCACCCTTCAAAACAAAGAAGGGGGAGATCACAATGAATGTTATCAATATTATACACACACTAATGATAACAACGATGACGATAAAGATCAGTTTTACAAGAGGCTGCAATCAATCATAGCGAAGTGCTCAGGAAAAGACCTGACCATCCTGATGGAAGACCTAAACGCCAAAGACAGAATGGACAACACTGGGTATGATGATATCATAATACAACATGGACTGAAGACTGGAAGAAATGAACAAGAATGGTGACAGATTCGCAAATTTATGTGCACTCAACAAAAGACCAAACACAAGCTGAGTACACAGAATCAAGCAAGCAAGTGTAGAAGAGCATTGAAACCAACAAGCAGAAATATGTGGAAGAACTAGCAACAACGGCGGCGAAAGCTGCAAGTGAAGAGAAAACAAAGAAACTGGTGGGGAAACATAATAAGTCAGAGAGACCAGTCAAGGACAAAAAAGACGAAACAGTCACTTAAATTCAAGGACAGAGGAACAGATGGTTGGGGCACCTCGAGAAACTCTTGAATAGACCAGCTCCATTGAATCCACCGGACGTCAAAGCAGCACCTGCAGACGTTCCTGTAGACGTCACTCCACCAACGATTGAAGCAATCAGGATGGCCACCAGACAAATCAAAAGTGGGAAAGCAGTTGGACCTGACAATATACCAGCCGAAGCACTGAAATCAGACATAGAAGTAACTGCAAGCATACTTCACGTTCTATTTAGGAAGATCTGGTAGGAAGAACAAGTTCCGACAAACTGGAACGAAAGACACCTCATCAACATACCAAAAAAAGGAAATCTGAGCAAATGTGAGAATTACAGGGACATCACACTACTATCGGTACTAGGAAAAGTTTTCAACATTTTTGCTGAACCGGATGAAAGATTCAGTAGACACTCAACATCGAGATCAACAGACCGGATTCCGTAGTGATCGGTCGTTCACAGTATAGATTTATAGACACTATAGCTCATCGTTGAAAAATCAACTGAGTGGGACCTGTCACTATACATCAACTTCCTTGATTATGGTAAATCATTTAACAGTATAGACAGGAGAACATTACGGAAACTTCTTCGACATTATTTTGTACGTGAGAAGATTGTCAACATCATATGGAATTGATGCGACGGACTATAGTGCAAAATGGTGCATGGAGGACAACTAACTGATGCATTCTATGTGAGGACCGGAGTCAGACATGGCTGCTTACTTCCTCTCTTATATATGGAAAATATTTGACTATTCTAGGCAATTAATTTCCTTAGTGATAAAGATTAAACAATTAATCATGAACAGATTCGTGATAAGATTAAAGTTCTAATGTCACTGATAAGAATAACAGAAACAGAATAGTAAAATTCGTAAATATTCCCCAATTAGAAAATATATATAAAGTTAAGAAAATATATATTTATCTACATAATCTTTAAGCATTAGGCAATAGTAGAAGAAGTACTATGTAAACAATCAAATTATATATGTACCGAGTAGTTCAAGTCTAGATATAATAGAATGGATTAAAAACGTAATATAGATGAAATAAAAATAGTAGAAGCGTAGTTAAGGTTCACTGTGAGTAGAAATAGGTATACAATAAAACGGCTCTAAAAACTTTAGTATTATTTACCATCAAATAGGTTTTGTGGATATTATAGCAGTTTCAATGGTTAAGATCATACTAAGTGAAGTCCCACAATAGGACTGATAAGTCTTGCGATTTTGAACGCTATACTCGATTCCTAAGTTAGTTCTTGATAACCCCCAAGCTAGAACTATACAGCGACCTGAACACGAGAGAGTAAGCGAAAAGTACTTTACTCCAAGGTTCATTCTTGTATAGAAAAACATGGGTATTTATAGATGTTAACATTTGTTAAATCAACATCATATTTTGGCCAATCCGCTAAAAGACATATTATGCTACTGACCAATAGTAGCACGCCACGTTGGCATTCTAGAAAGCTCCATCGTGCTCTGATTGGCTAAGACTCTTTGGCTCCTTCAGGGCCTCCGGA